GGTGGAAAAAATCCAAATGAACGCATTTGGTGATGTCTAGGGGACGAGCTCGTTTTCGGACGAAGCTGATCTTGTATTTGCTGCTGGTGGTGCGCTATTATTTGGACCACATGCAGAACCATACGGAGGTCCAATCTATAAGGTACCATGCAGGACGTCGACATTATCAGGACGACACTGGGTTGAAGAATTGATGTCAGGCCACCATACCCGAATTATGGATGCAACAAGGTTAAATGTTGATTCTTTCATGAGATTGTGCCAGCTTTTGGCCGAATGTGGATTTGTTCCCCAAAATCATCAGAAACGGGTTACAATACAGGAGGCACTTGCGATGACATTGGTCATGATGAGCCACAACATGAGAATGCACATGATTGCTGATCGATTTAACCATTCGACGGAGACAGTGCATCGCAATATTCACGAAATTATTCGGGGCCTATACACATTCGCACAATTCATCATTACTCCAAGATGGCAGGACGAAATTCATCTGAAAATTCTGAACGACAGGAGGTTTTATCCTTGGTTTGAAGTACAGTGATATCAAAATTGCTTTAGGATATAAATCTTTTTCTTTTCAAATTTCATCTAATTAACGTGAATGCAGGTGTTGTCCCGCCTTCCAACAAGAGCACACTTCACCATAAGAATTCATACCAGGGCTATCAAAAGTGGCAAAAAGTGTTGTACATAGGAAAATATGGTGGTAGATTTTTAGTTTTTCCTTGTTTGGCGTTAGTATATGAAATTAGTGGATTATTTTTAAGCCATATTAATAGTGTACTTAGAGCACGTATCATTCATATATTGGTTTATACCTCATCCATTTAATAGTTTCTTTTTGAAGGACTGCGTCGGGGCTATTGATGGGACACATATACCTGTTTCTGTCCCAAGAGGACAGCAAGTGGCATACACTAATAGCCACGGTGTACAATCGTAAAATGTTTTAGCTGTATGCAAAAATGATATGCGATTTGTATATGTGTATGCCGGATGGGAAGGAAGTGCACATGATGCCCGAGTCTTGGATGGGGCTTTGACAGGCCCAAATCACTTCCCCGTGCCTCCTATATGTATAATTTGTAATCCCTCACTTCACGTAAATTAAGACCTCAATTGTATACTTTTATCCCAATCCTTAGGAAATCTAATTATTTATTTTTTCACTTTCTTTTTGGCAGTGATTTGATTTAACCCTTATATTATTTGTTTTGCCTTTTTCAATTGAAAAATCTGGGCCAAAATCATCTTTTATTGTTTATCAAATCGTACGGACATTGAATAATTTGAAAAATAGTAAAAAAGTACAAAATGCAAATAATTCGATTGTATCTTTTAATTGTCATAGGAAAATATTATTTGGTTGACTCCGCGTATCGAAATTTGCCCAATTTCTTACCCACCATATAGGGAACGCCAAGCAGATGTTAGTGGTCGTAGGAGAGGGAGATTTGCAATTACGAAAGAACTTTTTAATTACCGACACTCTGCACTACGGAATGTCTTAGAGCGAAGTTTCGGTGTCCTTAAAAGGAGATTTGCCATTTTAAGGAGAGTCGTTCCGAACTACATGATGACAACACAGATAAATGTAGTTATTGTTTGTTGTGTCGTGTATAACTTCATTAGGGATCAACAGGCGAATGATATGTACTTTGCTAACTCCGAGAGGATGCTTGTTACATTTGGAACTCGCCGACTAAATCTCAAAGCCACCTTTTCTATGTTCTACGTTTTGGTGTTATAATGATTCCAGGGATTGAGTATTTTCTTACCCAAATAAAATTAAAATAAAAAAAGGATTGAGACTTTCACCTTTCTAAGATTTTTCTTTTTTTTTTTTAGTGTGATTTAGGTATTCAGTGGCATCAGATTGAAAAAAAGTTTTAGGCAACATACGATTAGTCCAAAGATTGGGCATACACATGAAACACTCGTATCAAACTTCATCATTATTATTATAACTTAAAACCGTTGATTAGCAGATTTGGCGATTACAACATGCACGAGAGGAAGCTTCAGTGATTTATCTATAGAAGACCATTATGAAATTTTTTATATTTTTCAAATTTGTTAATAATTTTTTACATACAATATCTAGCGATTGCAACATACACATAGAAGGGAGCTGTAGTGATTTATCTATTAGAAGATAATTATGAAATTTCTATAAATTTCTTGTTAACAAATACATTGTACATCTGTAATTTCGAGTGCATGTTTAATCTGTCATTAGGACAGTGATGTAATTGCTAGTGGATATTTAACCCGCCAAATTATAGATCTGCCAAATTGTAGATCTATAATTTCTAGTACATGTTTATCCTGCTATTAAGGTAGTGATATAATTTCAAATGCACGTTTAACATACCATTAGATTATAGATGTGTAATTTCTAGTTCATGTTTAACCTGCTATTAGGATAGTGATGTAAATCAAATCGTACAACCCCAACCCCTTAGGTGAATTTTAGGTGATATTTTCGTTTTTTTTGATAAGTGAGAAGATTTAAACTCAAAACCTCTTACTTATGACCCCTCTTACCTTGTGACCCAATCTAACCCTCCCCGGATTTTAAGTGAATTTGTTTTGTTACATTAATGTAAACATCTATCAAAAGATAATCTCACTTTGACTTTATTTGATGGCAAACAATGTCAACGGAAAATTATCAGATAATGGGAAAGCAAATCTCTTAAGAAAATCCGCTAAGAGTAATTGATATACAAAAATATCAAACAATTATGCCATAAATTATTCTAGGTACAAAGACGCTATGGTGCATTGCTTGAGGTTTCACCAGCCTTCTCCCTCGGACTACTGGGCACCAATTAATCATTTCCAATTCTCCGATATTAATTAGTTTCAATTGTTATTTGCCTGCAAAATCAAATGGTGCCACAAAAAAAATTAGTGAAATTCAAAAAGCTAGCCATTGTCACTTCTGCCGTCCCAAGAGTAAGATTAAACCTTGTAAATCTCCCTTGTGCTATGGTAAATTTGTATTTTCTCTGCCTGCAAAATCAAATAGTGCATAGGAAAAATTAGTGAAATTTAAGGGCTAGACATTGTCAGATTTGCCGTGCAAAAAGTTAGATAAAATAAACCTTGTGAAAAGGAAAACCAACAGAAAAAGAAGTTCAAACCAAAAAAAAAAAAAAAACAGAGAGAGGGAGAGAGAGAGAAGAAGTTCAACATGTTTGGAAACCATTATTTGAAAAAAAAAAACTCCTTATTTGTTAAATACATTTTTCAACTATCTTTTTATTACACATCGATCACCAAAAATGCTATTGTGAATAAAACAACAAAAAAAAAAAAGCAGAGAATAATTGCAATAATGTATTTGATGGTTGTACGTACCTCTATGAGAAGAGTCTTCCACATAAGATCGCACCAAAGACAATAGCACCAAACCATATATTTGATACAAATCTGTAGAGTGCCAAAAGAATAACAAACTTAATTAACATATTATAAAGATACATTTTATTTATTTATCACATATATGTGGCAAGCGTAGACTTTTGATGGAGTGTGGCGTGTCTCTAGCACTTGTTTCTGGAAATGATTAAGGTTTCATTTGGTTGGAAGCAATACATTTATACCAAAAAGTACTTTAGGTGAAGAATCAGAGTTGTTCAAAGGATTTTGTAATTATTTCCTTGTTTATTTTTATTTCAACAATCCTAAGATCTATGATTAACATATGATAATAGGGAAATCAAATGATATACCTAAATAAACACACAAGCCTTGGTCTAATGGAATGAACGAGTGCATTGGTCAGATAATAGCATCATAGTTGAAACATTAACTGTAAAAATGCAAACAATGGTTCTATATACAATGCTAGAACAATGGTGGGGAATTTCAGTTTTTAAAACAAAATGTTCCATGCCAAGGGATATTTGAGCATATGTCTTTTGCAGGAAACTTGTTGGATTCACCTTCAAGCCCTAATCCATAAGCACTACCAAGAATAGGTTAAAGGATATTGAAATTAATACAACTAAATTTCCTGCCCCTCCAAAAGTACAAACTTATCCTCCTTGAACCTTAGTAAAACTAACGTTGCTGCTTATCAACAAAAACACTGTGTTGATATGTTCTATGCAGCCGAAAGATAGAATAATGTGTTGAAGATGCATATTCCTTTGCCAAGGAGGATGAGCCCAGTATAATTTGCTGAGGGCAATAATTACGCAAAAAAACAAATAAGCAGAGAATTCAAACTTTATTTTCATGACATAAATAGTACTCACTTCCTGGAGCAATCAGCAGGATTTGATAAGTCAACATCCCAAATTTGCCAAGCAAGATGACCAGAAGCAGCTGCCAGTAATCCATAGAATGGCAATCCTGTCACACTTGAAATTAAATAGGGAAATGGAACAGAAAAATATGAATGAAGAAAACTGGAGAATTCGAGTAATTCCATCTTTATGTTGTCTTTGGGATACCATCTGTGATCTAATAGTATCAAGGTTAACAATTATAATATGTATTATGCAGGAAATAGTGGAATTCTCAGAGACAAAAATAGCTTGTGAAAACAGGGAGAGAAATGTTTAAGGCTAGTTTTTGTATGGTACAAGTAGTTTAGGCAAACGACGGCGAGAATGAACACCATGTGCATAAACAAGTCAGGGTTACATCCATTGCTTCGCTTTATTGGTCCATAAATCAGAATCTCCCAAAAACAGAAAGGTGTCATTGAGCTAATCTGGGTAATTAAGTTTATAGAGAGTTTTCTTGAAGTATTAATTATAGTTATAAATTTAAGAACGGTTATATTAAAGAATTCTCGGTAAAGACGGAATAAGTAGAAGTAAATACCAATGTTAGCATTAAATCCGGTTAGAGCAAAACTAGCAATGGATGCCGCTGCAAAACCAGAAATCCACAGTTTTTTTCATAGTTCGTAAAATGGATAGAATACCAAATTAGCAGAAGAATCGCTCTACCTGATGTGCATATATTGTATCAACTTCCAGAGTCCAAAAGATGAAGGCAAGGACGAGTGGGAAGACGATAGCAGGATCAAGACTTCCTTTAACAGCAGCCCATGAGTATACTGCTCCCCAACTGACTGTCAGACCCAGGTAGGCTTGAGGCTGCAGTAATATAGTTGCATGTTGGAAATGAGGCTAAGTATGAATTTAGATTTGCATGTTGGAATTAAGGCTAATTAAGTATGAAAAAAGTTCATCGGGATGAGGTTAGAAATTCATGGGAATAGTATCTGATAAAGAGTTAATTACAAGATGCCCCAATGAAGGTTGGACTTACTTGCACTTTGCCCCCTAAATCCGAATAATATGCACTTTCCACCTAGATGAATATTCCATTTTGACTGTTAAAAGTTTTGGACAATCCTACCCTTCGAATAATCTCAAATTCTTTTGCTTCTATAAATATTAAGAGCCTTTTTATTTTTATTAATTTTTTATATTTTTTTCTATTTTTAACTATCAAAATTTTTCCTCTCTTGTATAGGACAAATATTTTATTGTTTTCAATTTATATATATATATATATATATATATATATATATATATATATATATTAACTATTTTTTCTCATCAAATTTTTTTCCTAGAATTTATACTGTCACTATTTGAATTTTATCAATTATTTATTTAGATATGAAATTTTTTACTTATCAAATTTTGGTCTTTTCTCTCAATACCACAAGTCTTTTCATTTTTTATTTATTTGGATATTAAGTTTTCTCTCCTAAAAAATTTTCCTTCCTTTTAGACTGAGTACTTTCAATTTTCATGAATTTCATTTACATAACAAATTTCTCTCATTAATTTTTTTCCTCATAGTTTTACTATGAGTATGTTTAATTTTCGTAGCTTTTATTTAGATATTAAAACTTTCTCTCATCAAAATTTTTTTCTTCCTTTCAAATTATAAGTGTCAGTAATTTTCATTACCTTTATTTACATATTAATCTTTTACTTGCATTTTGTACCTATTTCTTTTTTTAATTTGTTTTTACTAAGTTTTTCACTCATAAAATTCTTTCCATCCTTTATATATAGATATAATACTTGACTCATGTTCAGCCCAATACTTGACTTCCAACCAAGGTCGTCAATATATTTCTCATTCATTTTATACTTTAAGTCTTTTCAATTTTCCTGATTTTATTTTTTATTTCATCTATCTGTACCACTATATGTCTTTCATTCATCATGCAGATAGGATTGTCAATGGAACGGGGTTGAGTCATGTTCAGCCCATTTGACCCGAATTGAGCTTTATGTATTATTAAGATGGACAAAGTTTGGACCTAAATATTAGACTTAATTTAATTGTGAACTGAGTTTGGATTTCAGTAGGCTCAACCCAGTTAGAGCCTAGTCCAGGGTAATTATTTATATAAATATGTGTTTTATATACAAATTAATGTGTATAATTTAGTAGTAGTATACTATAATGCACACAAATTATATGTGAACTATCTCATATAACTAGAACTTAAGATAATAAAAGTGTACATGATTACAAGGCAGCAAAAGTGTAGGAGCCATAGATTATAGATATAATACCCAATATGTTATTCTCTTCATGAGCGGGTAAGTAAAGATCCACGGCAAAGATGAAACCCATAATAGACGGCTGCATATAAATAAAAGAGACAAATTTAAAAATCAATTGAAGGGAAAAATCAACTTCCCCCATTCCCTATTCCACGGCAAACTGAAAATAAATAAATGAAGGGAAAAATGACATAAATACTTAACAATTGTTTTTCACAGTTGAAGTCGTTTGAAAAGAATATATTATTTAGAAGATAAACTCAACTGGACTTAAGGCGGAGAATTCATGACTGCTTAGATGAACGCAAGGTCGATGTTGAGTGAACACTTGGCAAAGCAAAGCACTCCTACTCTTTGCTGTTTTTCTGTTTGTAACAGTACTTAGCTTTTGAGTTGAATGCTATGAGGTGATTTTCCACTCCTTCGAATGCCTAAAAGCCTCCATATTTTTTGATTTGAAGTTTTTGAGCTATCTGGTGTATGTCAAAAACCTTCAAAGTCCTCTCTCTTTGAGCCTCATCCAATCTTATTTTCATTCATTGAATCTTTAGAGCTGCGGTTGTAAATTAGCATTATTGAGGATGTTTGTGATCTATGATTGTACACCACACTTCCAGAGTACCATCATTTTCTTATATTCAACCAAACAATGTGCGAAAGTGAGGCTTGTGAGAGTGTAAAACCTTGACTCAAGTGAAGTTGGCTAATTTGACATAGAGTTTTGGATTAATTATATTTACCTCCACTAACATACAGTCAAATTACAAAGTTTAGCTTGTGGTTTTACCAAATTACAGTTAAATCTCTTGAATGGCAAAATGTTTATCAAATGCCTTGCTAGTGTTAATTTGTGTTAGAAGCATTAATGCTTTTATCAAGAAAATATATGGATAATAAATCATAAAGTCTAGCTAATTTTTTTTTTTTTGGTCTCATACTGAATTATAGATTTGAATGTAACAGATGATTATTGTGTGGAGGAAGTGATCTAGGAGAGTGCGTTAGCGATCGAAATTAGCAGTAAACAGGAAAAGAGAAAGAAAATGAGGTTTTTTTTTTTAAAAAAAATTCTCTTTTTATATATCATTCCTCAATAGTTAGCAACTGATTGTTTTCTTTTCATTCGGTTGTCATATTTTCTTGTATGACATTAAGGGCTTTTCTTATAGATAGTTGTCTATTCAAAAGGTTTAAATTGAATTCTGGTCAAATTACACGGTCCTTTTTGTAATTTTTACAAATCTTAAAGGGTGGTAAATTAATATGTTTTTTCAGAGGATAGTTTCATCATTTTACTACTCCTGTTAGGTCAATTTGGATGCCATCACTCTAATTTCGTCAGATAGGGATAATTTAGTCAGACTTTAGAGGAGGTAAATGTAATAAATCCTAAAGAGTTAAGTTTGGGACGAACTCAAAATTGCAATTTTGGTGTGGAACGAAGGTAGGTAGTAAGGGACACAAATTAATGTGATTAGGATAGGAGAGCAAGGTAAAGGTGGCACAAACCTTAGTTTGTTTACTGCGAAAAGAACACCATAACCGAGTAGCAATTGAATGGCAAGGAAAAGAAGTGCTTGAAATCCCGCTATTGCGCCGGAGGCAAGCGGCCTTCCCTTGGTTCGCTCAACCTAATGGAATAATACTGTCAGTCTATATAAGATTTACTTTAAAATTTATCTTGACCATGATACAATTTGTATATCTATGCAGCTAACATTTGAACATTTAGAGTGCGATATTAATTTTGGCCTTTTGTCAGTCTAGCAGTTAAAGCTCATTTGCTTTGTCAAATCTAAAGGGGTTTTTTCTTTATTAATCCATAAAAGATAGATTAAGACCCCAAAAAAGAATAACAAGGAAAAAGCTAACAACCGCAATTTTTTCTTACCCATGCTTATTATCCCAAATATTACGTTAAGAAAAAGTAATAATAAATAAATGAACTGTACATTATCGGCACTCTATATTTATTAATGACAATTCCTTTATCTTTTACAGATCCCAATCTTAACTCCCCATGTAATTGGAGTGTCATGTAGGGCACATGATTAGAAACGTCAATTTTGAATTGGAAAAAAAAAAGAAGAAAGAAAGCTTGAAAGAAATTTTCAATTGAATGACTTTGATCAGATCTAGACGAGCTGAAGTGCACAGATTTCAAATATAAATTGTGATTTGTGAAAATAAGAGATCTTGAATTAGAATCCTTCTACTTATGCTAAAAGAAAATACCTGTGTCCCTTGATCCGTTTAAGAACGTCAATATTACACATATCCCAACCCCCAAAAAAAAAAGAAGAAAAAAAGACAAATAATCAAATGAAAAGAAATCATCACCTGCGAATCGAAATCCTTATCAAAGTAATCGTTGATGGTGCATGCAATATTTCTTGACATGAAAGAGACGAAGAAAAAAAATGCTAACATCTTCAGATCAGGAAGCGTGCCGGCATTCGCCGTGAATGCAAGCGACCAAATACATGGCCATGCAAATAAAAACGTCCCAACTGGCTTGTCCAAGCGGACTAGGTGGGCGTAAGGCCGAGCTTGTTCAGGAAAAATTGCTTCAATCCAAGGAGGAACGGGTTGTCCTCCTTCGCCTCGCTCTAAGGACTTTGCTGAGGCTGAAAAATGTGGATCTCGGATAGGTAAGTGGCAGCAGCCTCTGCCAAGGAATTTGATATGTTCAACCGAAGAACGGCGGAAGCTGGCTGAGCTATTTTCCAGTATTGTGCAAGGGCTGATTTTGGAGTTTGATTTGACTGGTTTCAGGAAGGATTTGGGGAGATCAGCTAAGGAGGGGCGACGTTGATGGTTCAAGCTGGAGATGAAATGAACACTACTGTGAGAGGAAGCCATAAGCTTGGAAGCTTGGGCCATTTTCTTCCGGTTTGGAGTCGAGCTTGTCTTGTGACTGCTTACCATATGTATATATACTCCCATCAAATCTTACCTTACCAATCCTAAGAGAATAAAAGAGGGAATGGAGTTAGGAACAGTACTTTCGTCCCCTATCAACACCATTAGTGTGTGGATTGTTTGGTCATTTCGTCCCCTAATGGGTTGCACGTATTTCTGGCTGCAATACGTTGATTTTTTTTCCTGACCATGCTACCCTTGGATTTCACTTTTACCCTCGATGGAGTAATCTGTGTTTTCAAACTCGGACCGGACCGGCCGGTCCGACCGGGAACCGGCCAAGTGTCCGGTCCGAGTTGGTCATCAGAACCGGGAGATTTAAAACCCGTCAACTCCGGTCAAAAATCGGGTTTGACCGGTACAGAACTGGAAAAACCGGTCCAACAGGAGATTTTGTAAAAAAAGTTCAAACTTTTTAAATATTATGTTTTGACCCCCTAAATTGTGAAAACTTATTAATATACTCAAATATTTCATACTTTATAAATATTGTCCTAAAATTTGATGTTATTTTTCAATTAAATCCATAATTTTAATTCTAAACTTGTTAATGTTTATTAAATAATATAAATTGTTACTTGATTGTTCTAATTTCTTTGTATTTTCTTGTTAAATATATTTGAAACATCAAATATATATAAATATACCTTTATTAATATCAATATGTTATTGGATATTTTATACTCCCTCCGTCCCATTGATAGTGTCATACTTTCCTTTTTGGTCTATCCCAAAATTAATGTCACTTACCACAATTGGCAATAAAAACTTTCCCCCATTTCCATCTCATGCCCTTAAATATACCAGATTCTTTTAAGATTTTGATGGGCCCAAAAAATTACAAGGATTGCACTTGATATGCGTGAGTTTCACAGCAAATGGAAACAATGGTCGTGCAAAGAACATTCCAAAAAAGCGGCTGAGACATTGTTTGAAACATGGGTCCCACAGGTCTGTCAGCACTCCATTATCATTCTAATAGTCAATAAGTTACGCTGCTCATAGAAACCGGATAGGGGCATTGCTGGAAGTTACACCAAAATCGTTTGAAATCCAGACACTGTTGAAAATAAACACAACTCCGAAGTGCGACAATTATTTCGGGACGGAGGGAGCATACAATAATTTAATTTTTAAATAATTTTTATTTATGACGTCATCCGGTTCGACCCCTATCGACCCCTGACCCCTGACCTCGGCCGAGTCGATATCCGGTCCGGTTCTGAAAACATAGGGAGTAATTAGCCAAAAGAAATAGAGTTGGCTTTATGGTCTTTTGGTTCGGTCTAACTCTTGTAGACACACCTGCTGTATTATCATTTATGAAATAGTTTGACTTCCAATTTAGCGGTGCTATGGAGCCTGCCTTCAAATGAGTGAGTTTATACTACTTAGCATATCTTTTTGTGTTCCTGCTACAATGGATAGATTATTTCTGCACAATTTCTGCTTCCAAGATATCTGAATCTTTTCCATATAGTTATCTATAAGGTTAAATTATTTTTGTTTAAACAGTCTGAATTGTCTTCTCCATACAATAACAAAAGGAAACAAAAAAATTGGGGGTGCAACTCAAACACTGACGGTAAGTGATGACTGCTTGCTATCTACAACCTTGTTACCAATGTCACTTCCCAAATAGAACCTCCTCCACTATCACAGACTTTTATGATTTATTTTTTGAATTTTCTTTATTTTCCCATATATTGTTAAACTGAATATTCAAAGAAGATGAATTATGATTTCATATTTTTGTCTTTTTTGCTTATAAAAATTTCGATTTTTAAGCCTGTTTTGTATCAATTTTTTTCCCTTATAAAATTTTTTTTTGCTTATTAGCTCAACGCTAATAACAAATATCATGAAAAACTACGATGATTAATATTGTTGAATCATAAAGTTTTAGTGTGAAAACATATGTAGAAAGATTCTTATATATGTAAATATAACA